GATAAAGTAACAGTTGCAAAACACGTTTTCAATCGACGAACCACACATTTGACAGCGAGCCAAACGGGGCCCTCAGTTTTGAGCGAACCAAAGTTTACCCCCAAATATCCCCTAAATAGCTATCACAACAGCACAATGCTATTGAGAAAAGAAAGAAAATCGTGAAAGTTCCCGTCTCTCCACGACCCTGTGGGTGTCCTGATCCGCAGCCGGCTGTCCACTAGGGTCATCGCTTCCCCCATATTTGAATTAAAAGACATTATATCCTCTTCTCCCACCATATACTACCCGCCAATTTCACTCCACGGGTAGTCAAGGAGGTACCCCCCTCAACCCCAGCATCAGAGGTGCTACACGAACACCGGTAGAAACCCGAGTGATAGAATCGTGTACTATGTCGTTGGAGTTGCCTCCTCTGGTAAGGTCCGGTATTTTTACTTTGCTTTTTCATGTCACTGCGAGGGGCTAAGCGACTCACATTTAGAACTCCTTTTCCAAAATAGGGAATTCTCTACTGCATAGCACACGGTTCTATGCCCGTGTTTCTTCGCTACACAGAATCCATTACGTCACAGACCAACTACCATATCCGAGGAAAGACTACTAACGTACGGTGCAAATGGCCTAAAGGTGGGTCCTCCGATGAAACAAGAATTCCGTTGCAACCGATTCGGTCCCGGGCCGAAATGGCGACTGGTGTGCAGCAACAGGACAGTAAGGTACTTGGCAATTTATAAAGTATTAAAACGCTTGCAGCCATAACAGGTAGTAATGAAGACTGGGTGTCTGATCACTTTATAAAATTTAATCACTAAGTATACCTCTACATAATCTTAGCTCACTCTTGTCCTCTCAGTTTTTTTTTTTTTTCAGCATGCTCTAAGTATATTTGATCCCTTGTTTTACTCTCACCAAAAATTTCACACTTTCATCTTGAATCACACTCAATAGAAACAGTTTATTTTTTTTGGGGAACCACTAGGCTCTTCTGCTCAGAACTGTCTACATCTCCAACGTTTTTTTTTTTTCATTGAAATTTGAGGCTGCCATTGACTGATTCAACATTTGATTTGGATGGTTTCGAGGTCCAGGTTAAGTTCTATTTGCACTATACCGGATTTGTCTGCGGTACCAATCTTCCTAACTTCTTCCTGTCAGCCTTAGTAGCCTTAGTAAGAAAAAGGCAAGCGAAAGCACTAGTTTGCTACCGGTACGATACCAAAAATAGTAACCACCGACAGCAACCATTCGCAAGTCATCCCTATTCTCACTAGAGTGCCCGCGGTAGGAAAATCATTCACCCGGGACTGCCAGGAATTCTCCCTCCATTCAACAAGATAAGCTAAAAGCCCATCACTCCAGCAGCCCCGTTGTCGGGACGTAAAAAAGGAACCGGTCATCATTCTCCCAAACAAAGATGCCCATGATAGCAGCTCGCGTGCCCCCTCTATCAGAAAACATGAAATGAAAATGTGCTGTACCATAGTCAAAAAGAGGCAGGTGGAACAGAGCCGAAATAGCCGAGGACATTCGCATCCTCCGGCAATACTCGATTGATCTAATGGCTTCCACGGACACAATAGGCCTTTACCCAATAATGGTCCCGTGCCCCCGCCGGACATCTAGACAAATATCGGCCAGCGGAACCGAGATCCCCCTGTACGAGCCAAGAGCAGCGAATACCGGAGTTTTACAGTATTAATTATTTCACCTCACTGCTGATTGCCATTGATTCACGAATCACTCCGATACTGTACACCCGCAACATTGAGATCCGCCTTCCCGCCGGGTGATCTGGTTAGCTGGGGGTTAGCTATGGTAGTTATATAATGGTTCGGCACAACTGGGATAATAAATAGGGAGCTCTTACTCGACCTCCCTGGGCAGCACTTGCAGTACCCATACCCGCCCCCCCTCGCCCACTGCTGTGTTCTCTGTCCTCCCTTCCCGCGAGATGGGTAGTGTCTTTCTTTTTATACTGGTTTTGGGGGATTAGCGAGCTGTATGCCGGTTCGGCTATACTAGGATAATAAATTTGGTTGAATCCCGGATCTACCCGTGCACAGATATTAACTTCTGCTATCGTTTCCCCCATCGTCGCCGATTCCTGAAGTGTTTAGTAAGCAACTTGGCTCGGCTGTGATGGGAATAGGAGGGCCCCTGTATCTCGTTGAGAGTATCACACTCCACATACCTCAATTATCATCCCCGTGCTTGGTCCATGTCATATCTAGATAAAATAGTTAAATATCCACCGGGAATGCCATACGGAGCACTGCAAGGGGTTTTATGTTATTTAAAAAATAATAATAGCAAATCATCGTGCTCTAAGAATTGGCTTTTTCTGTGGCTCCGATACGATGCAACATATCTCTACTTATCATATGCCCATTTACCCTCTACTGCAGAATCAAGAATGTTACGCAACGGTGTTGCAAGAGCAAAACGACCGGCCTATTTTTTTTGCGATAAAACTCCCAGCGGCTTTGTATTTCCCATTCGCATTAATGAACACACATCCCCCTGAATCTTCCGCTTCAGCAAAATCCCCCTTCACATGTCCCAATAATAGCGATTTCGTATGTGGTCTTGTAGGCGCCCCGGCGCTACAGCATAACGCCATTCACACGACCGCGACGCGTCCCTGTGGAACGGCCTATTTTCTCGACATCCACTCCTCGATACAAAAGGCCTGTTTTTACTAACAGCCTCCCCCTTGGCAAACATTTCCTCCGTATCTGTATAGTTTTATGGAAATTAGCGATCTTTAACATCCAGACTGCAAGTGGTAATTATACTCGGCTTACTGATCCCCGACGCACGAAGGTATACATCAATCCGCCTTAGTTTGTCAGGATGGTTTGCCCGAAAAGAAAGGTAGATTAACTTTTCACAATTTCCGACCGTAGTGGAATAACAGCTGTTTGTCATTACCGAACCGGAGAGCCACAACTGCCACGAGGTGCTCATACTTGGAACACCATTTCCAGCTTTGACTGGTTGGCGGAGTTCAGGGAGGCGGCTATGAGAGTACTGGCCTGGTAGCTGAGTCGTTCGAGTAATTATTTGGCCTTAGCATCCTTCGGGGCAGTGAGGTCCAGATAGTCAGCAGGTGGACAAATCGTTATGCCTCAACAGTGTGCAGTCTTCCGAACGGTGCAGTCCGTCCACTTTCAAGGCAGGGCCGGACGGCCCACTCGCCGAGCCGGTGCGACAAGGACAATATATTTGCTCGAATTGCTATAGTCCGTCTTTCCCCTTATGCCTGGACACCCTATGGTTGAGACAAGAGAGACCGGACGCCCTCTAGGTCCTGCAGGGGTCAACAGACTATCGCATATAGCGTCCCTACATTCCCCTAAAATCCCCTCTAGTTCCCTGCTTCAATAACACCCGGCTGTCCCCTATCGTCCTCGCTGCTTTTTTCCCTATATGGCCCCTGTAGTATGATATCAGCCCTGTGGTCGGGTGCCATGCTATAACAGGTTCGATGTAAACTAGGATAATATATATGGACATACCCTAAAGTCTTTGATTACCGCAAGAACTCGAATAAACGGACAATGTGCTATGAAGTCGAAAATTTCCTCCTCTGGAAAAGGTGCCAAATACACACCAAAAAAGACCGCCTCGGAGACAATTAAAAAACAAAAAAAACACCTGACTTTACCGAGAGAGGCAAGTCCAACGTCCTAGAGCATAGTCCGATTGTTCGAGATCTCGCGGTGTCCCTATAGTCCGACCTAAATCCTACAGATCGATCCCACCCCCTACTGTCTCCCACGGCCCCCAAGATGACTTCTACACACGGCAGTCTTTCCTGGAATCCTATACCCGCTTCGGGTGCACAGTGTGCTGCGGTAACAGCGAAAACTTCATCAGATGAATCAATACACCCCGAAACGCCTGTAAAACTCCCCCCTCCAACCAAGAAGGCTTCCTAGTAAGTCACGAGATATTTTCCTTTTTGAACTGATGGCCCACAAACCTTCAATCCCAAGGGATCCTGCGTGCGGTGTGATTGCCCCCTCATCGGCCAGAGGTTCGTCTGCCCATGCCATTAGAATTTCATCAATTGAAAGAATGAAAGCCTCATTTCACGGATATTACTAAGCTATTGGGGGTGGGCGGGAGAACCGCTTCTGGTACACCCACCTGTGGTAATCCGAATATCAGAGTCGGAACAACAGTGTCTCCATTCTCCATGACACCAGCGAATGGTATATTAGTACCCTGCTGGTTCAATTGCTGAAGGACTGTTGTTATGTATCCCGAAACCTCTGTTATGTCGTACCGAGGACTTTCAGGCGGTGGTCTAATGGCTGATGCTTGCATTAGATGACCCACCGGTATGCTCTGGGTTTTCGGGTGATCCATGGCCTCCCTCAGTCATCCAGCTACCAGATCCCGATTTCCATTTAGGAGGCTCCGGATTGACATGTGACATGGTAATTGAATTTGCTAAAAACAGGGAAGTCCAGGAAAGCTTCAAGCCTTGAAATACCGCTGGGTCTTTGCGACCTTTAGTATGCCGTTTGGTTCGTCAAGAGAAAAAGTGGGGATGGAAAACTAGAGAAAAGGAGCAATAAGTTTCCAAGGAGAGCGAGAAGGAAAAAAAGGGGACCCCAGAATCGGGACAGAAGAAAGGTGAGAAGCCCCTCCGAAAATCTTCGCATACGGTAACCCCTCCCCATCTCCTTCCGAATCACTCTCACCGCTTACCTGAAAACCCTTTAAATCCACCATCGCCCATCGGTCTCGGATCTCGCCAATCAAGGACAAAACACTCTGAGAAGGAATAGTGCTTTCCAGATGGAGTATAGCTTGGGGAGTCCTGAGCTCACGGATCTCACTAACTCGTATTCGTAATTTTGTTAACCTGCTCTGCTAAGCCTATTGTGGTTTAGACGGTAATTTCCTTTGAGATCTCCGATGGTGGATTTAAAGGGTTTATACGGTAATCATTCTTGATAATTTGAATCCTCATATTCCCAAGCGCGGCCTAGCTAGCGCAATAGCAGCGCGCCAGAGTCTCATCATACTCTGAAGGTTGTGGGTTCGATTCCCATGTTGGGGTTTTTTTTGCTATTTTTTCACTCTTCCACTTCTCCTCCCGATTAAACTCTCCCGTCCTTCGCTCAAATCCCGGAGTTGCCCTTCTAGCGTACACTTTTACTTCCAGATCGACTCAGGTATTGATTCGGGTCGCTCATCAGGTAATCGCTCGCTTCCCAATCTGGTAACGGCATGCATACAGATTCCTAATCGGGAAAGGTAATGCCCAGGGATTCCCCCGTACCGGTACAAGCACCGGTACCGTACTCGCCTTGCGGGGGCCAAGTAATTGGGCGGGCTCCCCCATACTCGTACAAACTTAAAAACAACCTGGATCCCTCCTGGTAAAGTCGATACATCAAAGATTCCTTTCCGTAAATCCCTGGAGGGCGATAAAATTGAACGTTTTCGCGGATGGGTCTTGCGCGTGGGGATTGCTGCTGTTGGACGGCACGGGTTCGAAGTTGACGGTATTATGAGTTACCGGTAGTTGAGGACTTTGATTTGTGGCTGCCTGTGACGATATACGTACGATACAGGTCACCGTGTTTGGAGGGCTTTTGTCGGGTCGGGGGTGACGGGTGGGGCACCGGTGGGTGGGTCGTGTGCAGTTTCAGGTGATTTTTTAGATCGTTAGTCTGCATTCCTAGTATCACCGGGGCGGCTGGTTGCATGAGTGCGGGTCATGCGAGTCCCTTCTCGATCTCTGCCTTTCCCCTTGAGCATCTTGGCTCCCGGAATGCTGGATGCGCTGCCTTAATTTGCCGCTGGAATAATGAATGGATTTGGTGGCGGTTGCTTTCTTCTACTGATCGGGTTCGAGTGCTCAGCGGTACGGTATCGATCCCAAGCAAGGCAAAATGCCCCGGCGGGAATGCTACGGTAGACTCCGACCGTACCAAACCGGGAGCGTGTCCCACTTTGGCGACGGCTTGTCTCCCACTCTCAATATCACCATTCCCGGAAAGTCCCTTGTTAAATTTGCGCAGAGATATCAAGTGCGAAAAGCGGAAGTGTTACATTCTATCCATCCCTCTACCGTACATCTATCAAACGGACAAAAAACGAAGCAAGCCACTCCATCCATTCCTCTACTCTCCAAACCACTCCCTAACCAACCGAAGGTCCATAATACACACTTTCAAACCCGATTGCTTCGCACGATTTTGAAGCGAATCTTTCGCCGCGATAACCTCCGCCCGATCACCCATTCTCTCGAACATTCGTAGGTCCCGTGAAAACTCCACAAACTCCACCATTTCAAGTATCGCGAGGTCGCCCAAGCCCGAGATGTAGTCTGTTTCGTGAACGAGCCGCCAAAAGCGATAAGCCGCCGTAAGGATTCGGCGTCTCTGCACCTGAGTGACCACAGGCGCACCGTAGCCTTCAGTAAAGCCGAGCGTCTCCAGAAGCGAACATCCCCAGGCGTCCACCAGTTTGTGGCAAGTTGATCGGGTATCTAGGAGCCCGGTGGCCTCTGCTATTCCGATTGCCCGCGGGGGGGTCGATGATGGGAGGACGGAGAGGGCGAGGGGGTATATTTCCGCAAAATCGGATTCGGCTATGGAGGTGCATATCGTCGTCGGGTTTGCATGGAGGATGCTATTGAAGCGTGGGTGAGCGAGGGTTGAGGCATGTAGGGTCGCGAAGTCTGGGAGACGTTGCAGGACCTCGACCAGGAGTTCTGGGGGGAGTGCGATAAGTGGTGCCACCATTTCGTGAGCTTTGTATCTTCTCCGTGAGTGTTCTGGAAAGCAAGTTAAGGAAAATAGGGGACGAAGACAAAATGTGGGCCCGGTGGGGATTGGTGAGGATTAGAAACGGAGGATTAAGGTGTGTATTGCGTGCCGCCAATCCATTTCTACGGGTGTCAAAGCGTCAGCACCCTTCTCATGTGGCATGCGGAGCGTGTATCATGTCGACTACAGATCAGTTGTTCATTTTGTCAACCCGGCGGACAGGCCGCGGGGGGCGTGTGAACACGTGCGAAGCCATCGAGCAACAACTGGACCACCCCTCCGCAGTGAATACGGTAATGGAACACCGGCAATGTTTCGTTGAGGGTTGGGAGAATAATTCGCGCCATTCTCACAGACGCAACCGCGGGGGTGAAAAATGTCTAAAAGGGGCACAGAATCCATGTTATTTTTTTTCCAGGGGGGGCAAACCTAACCCACCACCAAGCCCTAGCCGAGCCACCGTACGTTACCGGTATCAGTCTCACGTGACCAACACCCGCCCAAGCTCCACCACCCAGCCACATTCGCCTGAAGTATTGTTCCGGCATCCGGCAATTCCATATAATTTATCCCGCGAGCGACCGTTTTCCACATTAATTCGTGGAAGGGATCAACACATTTTATCCCAGTTTGCGCTGAACATTTTTCATACCAGCAGAAACCTGTAGGTATAGTCGATGAGTCGTCGTGGGTGGCCGAAGAGCATATCGCGGAGTTAAAGCCACTTTGCAGCACTCATCATCTTAGTGGCCCATTTACCTATCTGGGAGCTCAATCATCTCGCTAGTAAAGATGAGACGAACGTTACGGAGGTAGAGCACCCAAGTTTTGTAGGTTCCACAAGCGAGGTTTGCTGCCTTTAGCCCCTGTGGAACATACAGAACTTAGGGGTTGTACCTCCGTACTCGCACTGAATCGATTGTCTTGGCCTGGGCACGCAGGGCTTGTGCAACCAGAGAAAAACCACGATCCAATTACCGCAACCGGGCAGTCTTGTTTGACTAATCATGGCACCCCTAGAGGCTGAAATATTCGCTAATAATCGTATCCAGTGGTGATATCCTTTGCCGCGTAGGTGAACCCCCTACGCTACGTGTCAACTCCACCTTTGACGAGCCCCGGCCGTACTAAACATATAATAACCCTGGCACATTACCGGTAGACATCTATCGAGCTTGTTGCAGATCCTCTTACTGAGTTCGTGGCCACCTTTCCAGAATTCGGCTTTTCGGGACTTACTACATCTAGGACCTTGGCCCGATTTAACGCATGGAGCTAACCCCCCAACCGGTGGTTCAGCAGCAAACGCGGGGTGCATTTCGTGGAAAAAAATATGTCCTCAAAACAAAGTGCGGTTCTTGCCGTTGGCAGTAGCAAACGATCGAAGGTCGATGCCCTGTTCCTATCCTTTGCACGCATCAGGATTTATGAATTGTCCTAAACCACAATTTGTTAGCTAAGAAAATACAGAGTGAGGGTAACATCTCCCTGATCCAGCGTAGAAGCAATAGCTCACCATGTCCGGCAGAGGGGTATATCCCTAAAATATAGGGGGGGGATCGTTTGGTTGGGCAACCGAGATACTCTCCTCAGACCGTTTGGAGACAATGTGTCGTTTAAGGTGAAGAAAGAGGGGATAGTTGAGCCTAATGGAGGGGGGCAAAAATTCTGAAGCAGAAGCAAACAATCATGTGCCCTAAGATACTCGTACAATACAGAATAAGCGGCACACGCGTGCTCGAAAATACTCTGCCCAGGCCACATCAGAGATACAAACCCTAACCCACGCTTTCGACTTCAAGTACGATACAGTATGATACCAGGTTGATATGATATGATTTGATAATATGATACCTGCAATGTCATCTTTTGGAGCACCCCGCGATCTACGGTATGATATCATATCATACTCAACCTCGATGTCCACAGTGACACTTGCGAAATTAGCTAACTGCTTTTCGTTACCTCATGTGAGCACTCATATTCACGGCGCCTACTTCTAAAGACGAGCAAAACCGACAAACCATTAGCCGAAACCTACGCGATATCGCTATTACTGGAACCCTGGAACACCGCCGGCCGCTGCATGTGGAATCCATCCCCGCCTCCACTCCCTTGGATACCCCTCTGCTAATATTTGGCACCGGTCTAAGGCGGTGGAAATCGCGGATATTTCATATCGATAGCCGTCTTAAGTCTCCTGAGTGTCCCATATGCACTGCTATGTTCAATCTAATATATTATCCTAGTATCGCCCAACCGGAATATAACTAGCGAACCCACAAAACTCACAAAGAAACAAAACACTACCATGGGCAGACCCATCTCGCAACCACTCCTCCCAGACGCAAAGCCAAAAACCACTACCAACGTGTTCACGAGCGCTCATGGTGGTCATCGCCATCCCGGATTAACGCGCTTTCCCTCCTCGTTACCCTCCTCCCACTATCCACTGATCCCAAATTGGTCAACAAACCCCCTAAACAGATCATACAATCTATGCCAACAGATCGGGGAGGCCTTGACGTGCTTGACCCCACTCTTGACAGAAACGAACGGACCATCGGTCGCGAAGCACACCGTGGGTTCCCACCAATCTTGATCCTTTCCCCGCCCCAACACTACTGACGTCTAATGAATGAGTGGCCGTTCGTCGCAACCGTCCCGCAATGTGGTCCACTATTTTTCCAACCACCCCGCTCCACACCCCTTGCTCTTCAAATGTCAGGGGTGGGTCTGGCGGAGATATGCGGGGTCAAAAGAGTACGAACGGGTCGAGCACGACACCGGATTAGCATACCAAAAGGGGAAGGCCACTTGCTTACCGCCAAACGGGGGGAGGTTACGTTCCCCAAATTCCTGCCCTCGGAGACATCGGTCACACTCGGACGTGTTGTCTACCATTCTCAACACGCCGCCCTCTTCCACGAGTAGCGTCCAGTAGAGCGGGTTCCCGGCCACCACCCGCATGTCGTCCAAGTGCCTAGAATGTACTGGGATCCCAAGCCCTAACCAGCGGCTCCGCTCCCACCACGCTTCCCACTCCGGGATCGCCTTACTGATGATCTCCTCAGAGGCCTTGCCCGCTGAAAGGTGGAATCTCTCATCGCGGTCACCGCGATCGTCGTGTCCGATCAACCCGGCCCCGCTTCGGATTTGAATGAGAACTACACATCCACGCGAGTGAGGACTCGGAGGTGTCTGGGCTTGTCAGACGCGCGCTCATAGTATGCATGTCCGTTGTCTGTGCCAGTCCTTTCATTCCGATTTCCTCAAATCTCGC